GGAGCCCTTTTCCTGGGTACCTGCCCGCCGGTGAGGGCAAACGCTGATGAAATGGTCATGTTGCCAACTTTTATTGCGGGCCGTCAATGAGCCAGGAACGTGCCGGGCATTTTGCTTGCCTTGCTTCCTCTCCTTTAGTTCTCACAGGAAGTCACAATCGTACCCATTGTACTGAAGGGAAAACTGAGGAGCAGAGAGGTTAGGGGACTGGTTCGGGGTCGCGCTGGCAGAGCTGAAACCTCTCCCCACCAAAGGGTCTCCTCACTGAGCTTTTTTTTTTTTTGTCTTGTTGTTTGATTATGATTTTATTGTGTGTGTGTTTTTAAGAGAAAGGAGGGAGAGGGAGAAAGAGAGAAACATCAATGTGAGAGAAAACATGGATAGGTCGCCTCCTCTACCAGCCGCGACCTGGGGATCTAATCGGCAACCTGGGCATGTGCTCTGACCTGGAATCCAACCAGCACCCTCTCCGTGCACAAGGTGACACCCAACTGAGCCATACCGGACAGGACCCTCTCATCTCTCATTCTCTCTCTCTCTCTCTCTCTCAACTATATGGACATTTATTGTTTGCTTAACAAGAAGTCTGGAGCTGGGAGTCCCATCCCAAGCAGGAAGGAAGGAATGCAGGAAGGGGGAAAGCTGTCTTCCTATAACAGTTTGGGAAGAAATTCTTTCCCAGAAGCACCCACCAGACTCTCCCATGTGTTTCATTGGCCAGACTAGGATGTTTTACACTCCCCCCACCCCCCTTCCATATCCTGCTCTTCGACATTCTATGTATCGGGTTAGGACTGCCTCTAAGGACTTGGGGTTCCCATATTCCCTGACTGGTTTCAGCCTATGGGGATCCCAGCAGGAGGCTGGAGGGAGAGAAGACAATGATGGGAGGAGGGGGACAATTCCCCTGACTTCCTCCATGGGCTTGACCTCAAGGTGGCTATGGACTTTGACCAAAGGTTATTGTTCCTCTTAAGTCCCCCCCGCCCCGCTCCCACCCCAACTCTCTGTCTTAAACCCCATCACTGTCTTCTTTTCAAAGTTGAGTGAAATCTGTTATAGGTGAATTATTTCAAAAATAATACTTTATACTGAGTAAATTGCACCAGGGTTATCAAATCTCTTGCATCAGAGGAGAAACTGATAGTCTGGCTGGCAGGGAAGGAATCTCAGGCTAAGTGTGCTGGGTGGTAGAGTTTACCCTTTTCTCTTAGTACCAACTAGGGAGTTATTCCTGCAATACATAGGAGAACAGTGTGATCCGGTGCAGAAATCTTATATCTCTGGTCATCTTGTCAGCTGCCACCCTTCATGCTTAATATTAAAGTGCTGTTGTTTTCTAAAGCTTTTAAAAATTATTTATGCTTCCTCAGCTCTGTAGCACAGCATCATTCAACATCAGGCATAATGCCCCTAACAAATGGCACTTGGAAAAAATAGCAGGCATGTTTTGGTGACTCAGAGCTGATCAGGAATCTACTGAAATTTCATGTCTTCTATTTGTCAAGTTTTCTAATATGGCACCTCAAAGCTTTGGCTAAGGAGCGCTAAAGTATTTGGGAAATGAGATGGTGAAGGGTACAATGGCCTGTCTTCACATAGGAGGGTGGAGTGGAGAGCCATGGGAAACCTTGAATAGGATCAAACCTTCATATGCAATGATCTGTTCCATCTCTGTCTCTGACAAACTGAGTGACCTTGGGCTTCAGTTTCCTTATGTGTCAAATGGAGGAAATAACACATTTTTTTAGCGTCTCCAATCTCATAGTGTTGATGTAATGATCAAATGAGATAATGGCTGAGAAAGTACTTTGGAAAGACTATCAAAGTGAGATGATTTAAAATTGACATAGTATATCAAGCACTTACTAAATGCCTTGGGAGAGACACAAAGATGATATATGACCCAGTCCCAGACCTGAAGAAATTCAGAATGTAGTTGAGAAGGTAAGACATGCACATGGAAAGCAAATAATATAAAGCAGCAAAGGTGTCAAAAGAGCTGTTTAGATTATACATTCTAGAGAAGCTCAAATAAAGTACGTATTTTTTCTTCTTCAGGAATGAATGGGAAAGACTATGAAATAAATTTTTGTTTTACCTGGGCCTGAAAGGAGAGAAAATTTGGATCATTTACAATGGAGGAAACATCCCAGCAAGTGGAGGTAGAGAGAAGGAGTTCAAGCTGAAGTGCTGGACTGCATAGGCCAGTTCCACATAAGACTAGAAAGTTGAGCTGATAGACTGTCCTGGCAGTTAAAACTGAAGCAAAATACTGAAAAAGGATCTTATAATCAGACACCATCTGATGTCCATGAGCAAGAAAGTTGCAGGAGGCCCTAGATTTCATTCTCTTTCTTCCCATTCCTACTGCCCCCCTTCTTGTTCTGTTTTTTTTTTTTTAACAGCTTTATTGAGATAGTTTGGCATACAAGTATACAGTTTGTTATGTTTTGACATAACTATACATCTGTGAAACCATCACCACAATCCAGCCAGTGAACATATGCACCATCCCCTAAGTCCCTAAGTGTTTACTTTGCCTCATTGTAATTCCTCTCTCTGGCACTTCCAGCCACTAATCTGCTTTCTGTTACTATAGATTTGTTTGTATTTTTTGGAATTTTATGTAAATGGAATAAAAAATGTACTCTTGCCCTAGCCGGTTTGGCTCAGTGGATACAGCATCGTTATGGATTGAAGAGTTCCAGGTTTGATTCTAGTCAAGGGCACATACCACGGTTTCAGGCTTGATCCTGGCCATGGTCGGGGCACATGTGGGAGGCAGCCAATAGATGTGTCTCTTTCATATTGATGTTTCTCTCTCTGTGTCTCTCCCCCTCTGTTCCACTCTCTCTAAAAATCAGTGGAAAAATATCCTTGGGTGAGGATTAAGAAAAAAACACACCAAAAAAAGTACTCTCTTTTGGCCTCTTTCACAGCATAATTAATTTTGAGATCCATGTTTGTTATTACTAGTATCAATAATTCATTTTTTTAGTTCATGTCTTTTTATTGCTGAGAAATAGTACGAAGTCTTCTTTTAAAATCTTAATTTGTTTGGGTTTGTATTTAAGGAGGTGCTTTCTCCAAGACACCAGGTACCTATCTCAGTGCTTGGCGTACTGAGACACTTATTTGTTGAAAGAATGAATTTCTTGACAACTCCCACAGAGCTAATACCTTATATAGTTTTATTTGCTCTGGGGAATGCTTGGCCTTTATAGGCCCATCTCTTCATCAGTGTTGTTCCTCTCACCTTCTGCTATGTCATATGCAAAATTACAATCACTCCTTTTTTGTTTTTTTGCTAATCCTCCTGGGAGGATATTGTTTTCCATTGATTTTTAGAGAGGCAGGAGGGAGGGAGG